GGCAATGTATTTCTGTATTTAAATTTACATTTTCCCATACATATGTGCAACATTAAGTGCAAAATGAAAATGAAAATTCCATTATATAATTTACATTTGCCATTTCCTACACTAGTTTTAATATGTAAATTAAAAACATATTTTAACGCTTTTATAAGTTGCAAAATGAAAATGTATTACCCAAATTGATTAGATATGTTTAACATGTCCAAGCAAAAACTGTAGCAAAATTATCATTTAAATGCTATTTTTACTAAATGCATTTAGACTAGGACACTTGAGATTGCATTTTCATCGTAATATCGCTGATAATTGTAGCAAAATGCAGTGTGAATTTCAAAATGCATTCTGAGCCAAATGTGCAGCAAAAGGGTAGCAAAATGGTGATTCAAATGTCTTATTTTTCATAAATGCATTGACACTTACACTTAAGACGTTTCAATTGCATTTTCATTAAATACCCCACCATAATGTAGTTTGTCAATGTCGATTTGAACATGCATTCCGAGCCGATCACACCCCCAACCTGTCAATCATTACATCAAGGCGGGGCTCACCAACAAGACACACAATAGGTCAATATTCCCCATTAACCAAACGCTTTTCACCTGCCTCAACATCTCACTGTTTTACACTCCGATTGATGCACATAAGCACACATTACACCGTGGCTACACCGGACGCGACAGTTGTCGTGTCGCATTGCGCCGCATCCAGTGTAGACAGCATCGCTGATTATAATGGGTTCAATACTGTCGTTTGTCGTGCCGCTCGCATCCGGTGTAGTGTGTGTTGCCAACTGCTTTTAATTGAAAGTAGCTAAAACTGGTAGCTAAATGTCACTAGATGACATCATAATGGCAAATTCACTGATCTATATCTTGCCTTCCTCTCTTCTAACCCATAATAGAGCGCACGTCCCGTGGCACCTAAGCGTCACGCATGCCTTAAGATCTCTCAGTCTGTTTACACTCCGGTTGATGCCTCTGACCATACATAAAACGCTGCTACTCCTGCCTGCCCCAGATGACACTTCACCAGTCCGATCTAGACGCAGCTGTCACAGAACATGCCACAGACAAAGTCAGATAACTTAATATTAAAAATCAAGGGCAACAATCGCGGTGTCTGGTGGCTGTAAACAGTGAGAGCTCTTGTGGCAGGCGCGTGACGTTTAGGTGCCACGGAACATGCACTATATTGCGGATTAAAAGAGAGGAATAAAATATAATGTAAAGTGGTAAATAAGTGTAACATTAGAATTTCACTATTTACTTACATGCATCACTCGGCGTGCAGACAGCGAGATGTGCGACGCACCTGCAGCGCTTAGGTGCTCGGAGACACGCGATCCATTATAGGAGAAGAATAAAGTATGGTAGCAAATAGGTAAAAGTGTAGAATTGCACTATCTGCTTATGTGCATCGATCGGAGTGTAAAACAGTGAGATGTTGAGGCAGGTGAAAAGCGTTTGGTTAATGGGGAATATTGACCTATTGTGTGTCTTGTTGCCGAGCCCCGCCTTGATATAATGATTGACAGGTCGGGGGTGTGATCGGCTCGGAATGCATTTTCAAATCCACATCGACTTAAAACTACATTATAGTGGGATATTTAATGAAAATGCAATTGAAACGTCTTAAAGGCACAATATGTAATTTTCACCACTAGAGGGCGCGTATTCAAAATAAACAAAGAGACAAAGGCGTAGCTTGACGACTCCGTGACTGAGTGTGGAATCATGGGAGTTGTCGTCTTCATCCCATTGACAGGTTGGGGGTGTGATCGGCTCGGAATGCATGTTCAAATCCACATCGACTTAAACTACATTATGGCGGGGTATTTAATGAAAATACAACTGAAACGTCTTAAGTGTAAGTGTCAATGCATTTACGAAAATAAAAGACATTTGAATCACCATTTTGCTACCCTTTTGCTGCACATTTGGCTCAGAATGCATTTTGAAATTCACACTGCATTTTGCTACAATTATCACGCGATATCACGATGAAAATGCAATCTCAAGTATCCTACCCCGAAGTCTAAATGCATTTAGGAAAAATAGCATTTAAATGGTAATTTTGCTACAGTTTTTGCTTGGACATGTTAAACATATCTAATCAATTTGTGTAATACAATTTCATTTAAATTTTGCAACTTATAAAGCGTTAAAATATGTTTTTAATTTACATATTAAAACTAGTGTAGGAAATGGCAAATGTACATTATATAATTGAATTTTCATTTTCATTTTGCACTAAATGTTGCACATATGTATGGGAAAATGTAAATTTAAATACAGAAATACATCACCATTTTATATATTGCATTGTCATTTTGCATATTACATTTCAAAATGAAATGTGCTACCCATATGCTTCCATATACTAGTATGTTAATGAGTCTGACCAGCTGCTGTTGGAGTCTCTGCAGCTCTTGCTCCTCTCTCTCCTGCGCCTCCTCTCTCTCCCTCTTCCTCCTCTCCTCTCTCCTCTTCCTCTCCTCCTCCTCTTTCTTGACAGCTGTGTCATGTTCATCTGAAGCACAACACACAAACACATGAGACACAAACAGATGAAGAGCATCACATGATCAGTCACATGATCGTCTCACCTGTGTGTGACTCCTGGAGATTCTCTAGGACACACTCCTGATCCACAGACAGCACTGAACACACACCAGATCAACTTTATTTTCTGCAGATCTTGTGATGTATAGCAGATCAAAAATACGAGAAGAGCAAAACTACTAAAATGTCATTACTTATAAAGAGATGATTCATTTCTTTTCAAATAAATCTTACTGTCATCAAACTTTTGAATAGTAGTGACTTTTCCAGGGCATTTTTAAACTCTAATATTTCCTGAATTCTGATTAATTCTCCATATAAACTGAGTTGAGGTAATAGAAACGAGTGTGTACGTGGCACAGGGTCGGTGAGATCGTGAAGCGTGATCTTCTCCGGCTGAGGTGACGACTCTTCAGAGGAACTGGAGATGACTTCCTGCAGTTTGGGTGGACTGTGAAGTCAAAAGATAATTACAATAGAAATAAGTACATTTTAATGCACATTTGTCCATCACTTTTCCTAATGATGACCATGATTGTCTTGTGAGTATGAGAGTGTTCAGACAGAGAAGTCTGATTCATTTGACTCATTCCTGTGAATCAGTTTAAACTGTCTGTATGTATGAATTAATTGAAATCTCAGATTCATAGCTATGATTTCTTAAACTTGCATTTTTTTTAGAATTGTTTTAAGCTTGGCTTAAGGCAAAAATGCCACTAAAATGAAAAAAAATAAATAAAAGGGGAAAAAGCTCAAATATATTACAGCTTTTGTGATTAAAGTGAAATGTGAAAATGAATGAAAAGTGTCTATTGTGGAATTACGTTTAGATCTGCTCATGTTGCATCAAAGATTTTTTCATGCATTAACATGCTTTTTTTTTTTTTGTGTTGAGCATTACAACCAATTACACGTTTCTGTTGATTTATGAATACAAGCTATTGTTCCACCTTTGCAGTGTAAAAAAGCTTTTGTTGATGTTGAACACATTTTATTGGTCTATAGCAGTGGTTCCCAAACTTTTTGCAGCGTGCACCCCTTTCTAGTGTTTGACACACGTCAAGCACACCCACCACCGTTTCTTACATTTTATTAATAATTTCACTTAATATAATAAGACTCTATAGGGCTGTTACCAATCAAATGAAATCAGTATTAACAAAACCACATTTTCCACTGCTGGAGAAACTGAAGCAGCTGAAGTGGCGTTTAGATGCATTTACACAGACAATTTAATGAAGCTGAAATGTAGCATGAATGCATTAACACTGCAAAATTACAACAGCATAAATAATGCTGTGAGCTTGGTGTTTTACATCAGGTT